ATAAAATAAAATAAAATAAACGAGCTTTTTGTTCATATAATTGCAAAATTTATGAAATCCAAAACTAAACCCCCAAAACTACAACCATACTACATGAAGTTTAAGTATAAATGTCTCAAATTAAAAACTAAATTTACTAAAATTAAAAAGAGAGGGAGTAATTTGTTGAGAGACAAGCAAAGAAATGGCACATATTAGGTATTTTTAAGGTCTATAATTTTATTTATTTATTTATTTTTGCTGCTTAAATTTTTTTTGTCTTATATTTATTTTCCATTTAGGTGACATGTCAACTCTTTTTTCTAGCTTGGTCCACGCCACAAACAGTGGTAAATTTAATCGAAATGAGGAAGTGATGGTTAGTGATAAACGGTAGCAAGTAAAATGAAAGTTTAATAATTAAATTTACAAATCTAAAAGGAGAGTGACTAAATTGAAAATTATGATAAAGGTGAGTGACTATTCACATAGTTTACCCTTGCCTTTTTAATGCTGATTGGATTTTCCTTAATAGTTAGAGACCCAAAACAGTTTTCCACTGAGTTATTTCTTGGCCGGCTTGCATTGTGTGCCGAGATTAAGTATGAGCATTGCGTACTGATATATTTGTTATTTGTAAATATTTTATTTATTTGGATAAGTATTTTATTTAAATAACAAGTTATCTATATTTGTATAATTAAAATTTTATATATTATATTTAATATCTATACAATAACAATTTTTAAAAATAAAAATATAACAAATCACAAACGCAATTTATAAATAATAAACCTACACCAAATATATATTACACATGCGGTTAATAACTTTTGACAGAATACCCAAATCTACCCTCCAAAGTATAGTGATAGAGATGAATTTATCCAAACAAAAAACGGAGACAAATCCACTTATAAAGTTTTCAATGTGAACAAATCCATCAAATTTAACATGTGATGTCAACTGACATTAACAATCCGTTAATAATAAACTTATTAGCGACATAACAAATTAACGGGTTGCTGACATTAAATGACATCACACGTTAAATTTGAGGTGATTTGTTCAAGTTGAAAACTTCATGGATGGATTTATCCCAAAGTAGTCAATACCGTACCAGTATGCGTACCAGTTTTGCTACTGGAACGGTACGTACCGGATACCCGAATTTTTCGTGTACCGTTTCGGATTTATCGCTATAAATATATATTTTTATAAATTAAATATCAAATTTTAAAATAAGATAAGAGATACTAATATTTAAAACTATGATATTCTTATAAATTAAAAATAAGTTTAAAATGATCATTTTTAGTCTCTCAAATTTTAA